AGCGGTAGAGTTGGAAGGAGAATGTTGGTTCTCAGCCTCCTGTCCTTTCTTTTGTAACATGCTGCCCTCAATTAAGACTTCATCGAGTCCTCGCCTGGATTATATACACTGGCCCAGTTTAGCCCTGAATTGTTTCACGTGTGTCTGTTGAAACTAGATTGTAAGCTCCTTGAAAAAAAGGGACTGTCTCATAGTTCTCTCATGTCTACAGAGCTGGGAACATAGTAGCCATTCAATACAAACCTAATAGATTGGTTGATTGTCACCATCTGCCACAGCCCTTCCAAATACCTCATCTCATATTCAGTTTTTCCAGCAAGAATCAACCCTCCTGGAATATATCCCCATTCCAATTTCAGTCTGTATAAATTAGTTTTAAATGCCCCTGTGCTGACATTTTAGAATCAGAACTGGAGCATGCTTTCAGCCCCAGCATCTTTAGGGACAAGAAGACCAGCGCTACCGGAGATACAAGGGGAGTGCTGCTGATGCAGTCTTCTGATGAACTTCAAATACGTTGTGTTACTTGGAGGATACTTTTTAAAGCAAAAGAGATTCTCTACTCTTGTTTATTTACCCATCTAGAATCCTCTGGACCAAGCACAAAACTGCTCTCCTAAGAGGGGTAGCAGTTTCTGCCTCACATTATTAGATATTGAGCAAATCAGGGCTTTTGAACCTTGGGTACTCAAGAATATGGCTGTGTTAGTCCTGATTCTTGTCTCAGAAACCTCACATCCTACACTCAGCCCGAGTAGAAACATTGACTTGATTTTTAGATTTCAGCAGAGTCTAGCATGAAGAAGAAATAAAATCAATCTGAATTTGCTTCATTCTCCTAAGCTGATAGTTGCCTTTCCAATCACACATCTTCTTTGGGATGTGTTCTTTTATTTTACTATGCTTGAAAAAGAGAGCTAGGTTACTTGGCAAGTATCATGTTGCCCAAATCTAGATGTAAATGGTATTTGAAAAAAAAAACTTATCCAAATTATGAATTATGATAAAAACTCCAGCCCAGAAATGTTTTGTTTTGTTTAACTTGTTCTCTTTTGTCAGTTATTAAAACAGCAAGCAAAGTCCTAGGCTAGGTATGAATGAAATAGATCTTCACATCTAC